TCCCATCAGACTGATGTCCTGGTCACATCTCCACTGGCTACAGGACTCTGAGGACCCCTAGATTCAGAATGATAGGGGGTCTAGTGTGTGTCTATCAGTGGGTCTGCAGCTGTCTTTATCAGAGTCCCCCAGGAGTGGTGCTTGTAAGATGCATATTCCCAGGCACCTCCAGATTCACACAATCATAACCTCTGGAAAAGGGGGGCCCACAAATCTGCATTTCATTTTTTGGTGATGCTTGGGAATGCACCCAGGGCCTTGTGCATACAAGGAAGACACTCTACCAACTGAGCTACATCCCCAGCCCCAAATCTGCATTTTTAAAAATATTCATTTAGTTGTAGATGAACACACAGTATCTTTATGTATTTTTATGCAGTGCTGAGGATCGAACGCAGTGCCTCACACATGCGAGGCAAGCACTTTACCACTGAACCACAACCCCCCAAATCTGCATTATTAACAAGAATCCTTTCCTATACCTGTCCAGGCAATAAGTGTAAGAGTCCCTGTGTCCTCACAGCATTATACACAACAGTCCAAAGTGGGCACAACCCAAATGCTCACAGATGGATGGATTCATCCATGCCATGGAACAGTGTCTAGTCAGGAAAAGGAATGAAGTTCTGAAGTCAGCTGTCATGCGGGTGAACCTCAAACCCGTTACACGAAGGGGAAGAAGTCAGCCATCAAGGAGCACCTATTGTATGACCCATTACACTAAATGTCCAGAATGAACAGTTCAGAGACAAAGGGTGTGGGAGGGGCTGGGGACCTTGTGGGGATGGCCAAGGGGTAAGGCAAAGAGTCCTGTACCTTCCCTGGTCATTTGCCACTGTGCTCAGCTCTTGGGGGCAACAGGGCCAAGAAGCCTAGATGGCGTGTAGCTCTGCTGTCCCCCAGGCAGGCAAGGGAGCCCAAGGCAGCTGCCCCATAGGAGTCACTGTCTCTGGCTCTTAGCACCTGTCACCTAACGCTTTCTTCTCCGTTCACAACAGCACCACACTTGTGAGGCCACACGCCCCCCTACGCCATCGCCCTTTACCCCTGGGGTGTGCAGAGCAGGTTCTTGTCCTTCCGTCTTCTGAGGAGGCCACAGAGGCCCAGGGAGGTCTTGGCTTGCCCATGGGCAGTCGGCCAGACGTGGCAGGGCTGGGTCTCCTGGAGCCCAGGTGCAGTGCTGCGGGTCTCTGTTCTGTCGGAGCGGGGCTCTCTTCCACCGCTCTCTCCTTTCTGCACCCACATCGCCCACCACACCCTCCAGCCCCTCTGCCTCCGCTCCTCCTTCCCCTCCCCCTTGGTCCTGCCCTCCCACCTTGGTCCTGCTGCTGGACCCCCTGCAGGGTCCCTCCTGGGCTCCACAGGACCCCAGGAACCAAGGGTGGCAGCTGGGCTGCAAGCAGATAAATGCTAATTATAGGATTATACAACTGTCTGTTGACTTAGTCCTGCAGAGGAACAGCCCGGGACTCAGGGGGAGGGTTGGCAGGCTGTCGGGGAGGGAGAGGTGGCTTCTCCTCCTGTCTGGAACCCCCTCAGGGCCCTTCCCCCCTCCCTGGGTCCTCCCTCAGGGCCTGGCTTCAGGGTCCACTCCCACCCCAGAAGCTACCCGAGGCACAGAGCTCCTAGCACACTCTTCCAGGAACATGTCCATAGGGAGGTGGCCACTGGGGGGCCTTTATGGAGCACTTCGACACAGAGACGGGGAGGCAGGAGGATTTTAACTCAGGGGCCTGAAACCTTCCCATAATTTGGCCCCTGAGGTGGATGAACATATATTACCCCTGCCAAGCAGCAGGCGAATGCATGAGCCCTCTAACACAGGGCCCTCTAAGGACCCTCAAGGAAGCCTTTTGATTATTGTCTTGAGCTGAACTGGAAACCTGGGAGCCCAGGCCCAAAAGGCACCTGAACTGGCCCTTTTAAAAATCCAAGTCCTAACTCCAGCTTCTCCAGAATCCAGGAACACCAACCTCTTGTCCCCAAGGACACTTTGCTTGGGGGGCCCACCTCTGCAAGACTGGATATCATCTCTGAGTTCCAGGTGTCCCCAGGAGAACGGTGACGTCTGTCCCTAAGGAGAGTTGTTCTGGGACCCCATGAAGGAGGCTGGAGCCAGTGAGGGACACTACGGTACCTCTCCCCCTCAGGACCCACTGGGCTGGGCTGCCACACTGCCCCTCCCTGCTGACCACCCAGGGGCTGAGCCCTGGGTGGGGACCTCTAGGCTATGCCACTCAGGGCTCCCCCACCCATGGGCCCCAGACGACACCAACAGAGGAAAGGAATCCACCGGTCCCCATGGCAGGCAGGAAGCAGGAAGCAAGAGGCAGGGCCCAGAGCCCAAGGCCCGAGGGGCTGGGCCACACCAGCCATGACAGCCACAACCCAGGGAGCAACGGAAAACAGGGGACAGCCCCACCCAACACCTTCTTCATAGGAGGCAGGGCACCATGCGGGCCACTTGGGCCCAGGGACACCTTGGCTGGACAGAGACACCACTGCCACGGGGTCTTGGGCAAGCTCCCAGGCTCACCCCGGTGACCACTGGGCCCGAGGCCCTAGGAGGAGGGAGGAGAGAGTCACCTGGCTGACTGGCCTCCTCTGGAGGCTGAACAAGACTGGACCCCCAAGCCTCCCTCTGGGCCAGAGCCAGGAAAATCTCAGGGCCACTGGAGAGAGGCCTGTGGAGGGGCTGGTCAGAGCAGGGGACAAGGGAAGCCTGCTGTCCGTGTGGCTCTTGGGCCCATAATATGTCCTAACGTCCGTGCTACCAGGGCCTCATTTGTCAGGGGGACAGCCTGCTTTAGGAGGTTCCCAGCTTAGCCCTTGCTGTGGCCCTTCCCAAACTGCCGGCTTCAGGGCTGGCCAGGCCCCCAGGACAAGGCTGTCTTTGACAGAAGGAGCTCAGGACGGAGCTCTCTGCACCTCTCCACCCACAGAGGGGCAGCTCTGGTGGGACTGCCCGGCTGGTGGCCTTCTGCAGAGTGGAGGTGCCGTTCACAGGGTTAGGCTGGATCTGCAGGCAGCCCCTCCCCTGCCCCGGAGACAGAATGGAGCCAGTGTTCCCTGAGTGTGGCCGCACAATGGGCCGAGCCCTCCACGAGTGTTCCCATCAGTTAGTATTTATCAGCCCCCGGGCCAGCTGGGAGCCAGGAGCAGCCAAGAGAGACACCATTGTCCCCAAACAAGGACCTGATATCCTTGGGGAAAACTGGACAAACAGGGAGTGGCCTCGGCTGCAGGGTTTCTGCTCTGAGCTCTGGCTCTTCAGGGATGCCCCTTCATGAGCTGGTCCAGCAGCCCTGGGGACCTCGGGCCCAGCCGGTGAGGGTGACCAGCTCCTGTGAATCGCTCCCGCTGGACCGAGCCTAGATAGCCCTGCACACTCGGCCCCTCAAAGGCCCTCTAAAGAAGTCATTACGACCGTTGTCCCCACACAGAGGTGGCACCGAGGGCCACGCAGCCGGCGGAGGCAGGACCTACACGGCCTTTCTGTGCACTCGCCCTGTGCAGTGGCCTCGACCCCTGCAGGCGGAGCCTTCTCTGTCCCCTTGCTTTCCCAGAGGCCTTTGAGAAGCCAGGGAAGCGATCCGGGCGGCTGGTCAGTGGCTCTTCTGGGCCCCTGCTGCACTATCACAGCCAAAGGAGGCAGCTTAGTGGGCACCTGCCTGGGAGCCCAGGGGCGGGCAGGCCTTGGAGGCTGTGCCCCACCCTGGTCTGTTGATTCTCGCTCTTGCATCTGGCCTGAGGGACCGAGCCTGGGTGCAGGGACCGAGCCCCAGGGTGCCTTGCTCTGCACTGCAGGGTGCCCTTCTGACTTCCCTGGCCCAGCCCCCCACACCACCCCGACAAGCCAGCAGGAGAAGCCAGCAGCAGCCCTGGAGCAGAGGCAAGAGGCCACTGGAACTCTCATACCGCTGTACCACTGTGATGCTCTACCCGGGCACCAAACCTGCTCCCACCATTACCCTGAACACCCCAGGACCGGAATCTTCACCTGCCTCCTCAGACAAACATCCAGGCTGCGTCCACAGAGGGTTTGGTCCAGCCCGCCCATGTCTCCAGCCCCATCTCACACCTCTTGCCCCTCTCTCCAGCTTGAGCCAGCCTTTTCTGTTATCCCACTGCATCATCATCCCTCTCACCACAGGCCCTTTGCACATACAAGTCCCTCTGGTCAAAATTTCCCCCCCTTGTGCATTTATCTCCTTTCCTACTTGTTTGAGCTCAAGCACGTCTCTTAAAGGAGTCTTCCCTCACCTCCAGGACTAGCCCATGCTCCCCCTATTCTCTGGCACTATGCAATTTTTTTTAAACATTTATTTTTTTATTGTAGTTGAATACAAGATCTTTATTTTATTTATCTTCATGTGGTGCTGAGGAACGAACCCAGGGCCTCACATGTGCGAGCTCTACCTCTGAGCCACGACTCCAGCCCACTATGCAGTTTTCACAGCCTGCATTAGCTTCAAACTCCTGTCTGTTTCGATTCATTAATGCCTCACCTCCTGCGCCGGACTGTAGGTCATGGGGGAGGACAGGATCTTTCCTATTGACTGTAGTTTCCTAGCTCCTAGCATGGTCCCCAGCATGTTGTAGGTACTGGACAAGTACTGCTGTGTCCCGTATCCTGCCCCTGTCATCATGAGGGACTTTACAGCCAAGGACTTTACAAAACAAGAGCACCCTGGAGGTGAGCTCCAGCTCTGACCCTGTAAATGTGTGCAGACGTGTTAACATGGAGTCACGCCACGGCACCTGAGAGATGAGTGACCAGGGCCTGGGCTACATAAGGCTCAGCTTTCCAGGATCAGTCCGGAAAGACTTCCAAAGGAGAGGCCCTGGCTTCCTTGATGACGTTGTCAAAGGTATAGTCAAGAGTTCAGGGAGCAGAGGAGGAAGACCCTGGGAGCCAGAAGGCCCTTCCTGCCCCCGCCAGGTGCCCTGGGCTGTCTGAGCAGCCTCTGCCTGCAGCTCCTGGCTGCAGTCCCACATACCTGCTCGTCCACCTTATGGGCGATGAGGGTGGCTCCTTCCTCCAGCTCTGCCACGCTGATGGGCCGGACCCTGAGCGCCACCTGGGAGAGAAGACCAGACCTCAGAATGAGAAGGAGAGGGCCATGCAGGCCGTGGAGGGAGAGGAGGAGGAGTGGGCTTTGGAATTCGTCCTGCAAGCAGGGCCATGGCTTCTCCAGAGTCCAGCTACCTACCCAGGCTCCTTTGTTCTAAGGAAAACTCAGTGAGTCCAGGTCACTGCCTAGGTCAGAGGGCAACAGGTCCAGAGCATGTCAGGCTATGTGCGAGTCTACCCGTCTCTCCAGGGGCCCACGCCTCGGGGACAACCCCAGGGGAGGGAACAGTCTGCTCAGGCTGCATCAGTCACTCGCCCAAATTAAACATCCATGGCTCCCTGGGCACCGGTGGCAACATGTGTCTGTGGATGACGCACTACGCCCGCAGGTGCAGGCACGGGGGTGTGTGAGATGGGGCCTGGCAGTCGGGATGCAGCTGGGCAAGAGGCCACTGGCAACTCTCATACCCTTGTCTCTCTTCCCCTGGTCATCCTAGCCACCTGTGATCACATTCCTGCCCCAGAAGAATGTCACTGAGGAATGAATCTCCCCAAAGAACTCAGTGGGGAAGGGGGGAGGGTTTCTTTTGCTAATCAAAGGGACACACCTGTCCGCTGTGTGGGTGAAACTAAGGGCCTCACTCCACCTTCCGAGGTCCCTGCCCTGCCCTTCTGGCTGAACTCCACGGAGGGCGGGGAACAGCTGGAGAGGCTGTTCCAGACCCTGGGGCTTCTTGGAGTTGGGGCATTTTCAGGAGGCAGGGTCCCTTACGGAGGGTGCAGGGGTGGTAACTTTATCCTCCAGCCACATCATCGCACCTGCTGGTGTTGAAGCCCATTCCCAGGCCTCAGAAGGTGGTAGCTGGAAAGAGGGCTGGAGAGAAAGACCCTACCCAAGACTGGCCCTGGAGCCACGGCGTCCCCTCTTCCTCATTCCATCCCAGGACTGCTGATAACCAAGAATATCTACCTTCTGTCCCTGCACGCCACCACCCTTACTCCCACTTCCTCATCTGGCCCAAACCCCATGCTGGCCACTTCCAGAACTCCTCCCTGGATTCAGAGTCCCGACTTGGACGGTGTCTCCATTGCAGTCCATGGGCCAGCTATTACCCAGCCCGGGCGTCTCTCCTGGCACCAGGTGGCTGAGGGGGGTCTTGTCTTCCTATTGTGGTCCTCAGCTATCTTTACTCCAAACCCCTGCTGGGAGATCCCCACTGGCTCACGAGGAAACCCCCACTTTCCATCTCAGGACAGAAGGTCCAACCTGTTGGGGATCAGAGCGCACTCTTGCCCCTGAGGCTGCTCCGGTTTGGAGGATGGCGATGCTTGGGGGCTGTGCGCTGGAGCTGGGTTAACTTTCCAGCCTCAGGTGGACGGCCACCATACCTGCTGGACACCTGTTCTCTGGGACTTAGGCGAAGTTGCTCTGGACAGTCCCAGGCCCTGTCCCTTGCGTATCCTCTTAGTGGACACTGTCTGAGGAGGTTTGGTTTCGGGGTCTGGAGGGGGGAGAGGAGGAGCGTGAAGAGTCTCACCATGAGTTGCTGGTCCTTGGAGTCTCCGCTGTCCTTCATGATTGCGGCGGAGGGGGGGGGCTCAGGCCGCGACACCGGGCATGACCGAGCCGCACCCCCACCACGGTCTGCCGGTGGCTCCCCGCAGCCCAGCCGCTGCTGCCTGACAACCCGAAACCAACAACGCGCGGACGGCCCAGCGCCGACCCGGAGGCGGGGCCTGGAGGGCGGGGTCGGCGTCGCCCCGCCCCTGCGCCCGCCCCTCCCGCGCCCGGCGAGAGCTGCGCCTCCCCCGGGAACCCGAGCAGCTGCCCGCCGTGCGAGTGCCCGCCTGGCGTCCCTGCGGCCCTCGGCGCGTCTGTGCGACCGCCCAGCGACGCCGCGTCCGTTTGGTAGCTCTCGGCGCTTGCCCGCGCTCCCGGCTCGAGGCCGGGCCAGTCCCATGCGCCCCGGTGCCTGCGCGCCAGCCGCGCGCTGCCTGTCCCTGCAGCCGCCGTCATCTGCTGCCTGCCTGCCTGGTCCCTTCGGTGCTTCCAGGACGGCAGGCAGGTGTCTACACCCACTGTCCACTGGCACAGGGGGTTGGGAGGGTGGGAGCGGGTGAGCGCCTGGACCAGCTGGGTCGTGTCCCAGAAGGCCCCCTCAGTTACCCCACAGCAAAGAAGGCCCAGTGCCCAAACCTAGACTGCAGGTCAAGAAGATACCCGCATCTCCTTAACTCGTCTTAATCGTACTCTTCCTGCCTGCTGCAGGAGTCACCATACAGTGCAAGAAGTCGATGTCGAACGCCGCCGGCTCCATTCTTGGTGACAATAACAACAAATACACAGGGAGCGCAGTGGAAAGATTCCTGGCCTCAGGAGGCCCGGGTAAAACAGGACTCTAGTGCCAGCTCTGCCTCCCAGTTACCCAGCCACCTGGAGCAGGTTTTCCTGTCCCCTAGGGTCCTCCGTTTCCTGGATGATCTTGCAACTGTCCCAAATGCTGATGGCCCATCTTTTGTGTCATCTGTCCCCACTGAAGCCGAGCCCTGGACTCCTGTAAAGACCTGGAGAGGGCGCCACAGTGGGGTTCACTTCCCATGGAAGGAGCTGGGAAAGGTAGCGCTTTCATCCCCTGGGGCTGTCTCAGACGCCTGGCAGGATGCCAGCCTGGGCCCTGGGGCTGGCTTCCCCGGCTTCCCCAAGGAGCTTGTGTTGAGGATAGTTATTAATAAACAGTGGCAGGAAGCAGCCGGCAGTCTTGGTTTTGACAAATATAATAATTTGAGTAAAAAATTGGTGGACACCAGACCTTTCTGTAGGGGTCCCAGGTTTGCGCTGTTCTCTGGCTCAGGCTGCTGCTGGAGCTGGCTGGTTTGCAAAAGGGCTTGCTGCTGCCATAGAATCGCACATGCTTGGGGATGCGTCATGCTTGCCTTTTAAACCCCTGAGTTGATCTACTTGAATCATCCAAGGAGGCCCCTGGTCAATTGGGCTATCGCTGTCTTTCTTTTTCTTCTCTATTCCTCCACATGCATAAATGACACCCGGGAGGACCCATAATAATTGATGGGTAAAAATACAGCCTCAGCAACTTAGTGAGACCCTGTCTCAAAATTAAAAAATAAAAAGCATCCAGGTGTGATGGTGCACACTGTAATCCCAGTGGCTTGGGAGGCTAAGGCAGGAGGATTGCAAGTTCAAGGCCAGCCTCAGCAACTTAGTGAGGCCCTAGGCAACTTAGCGAGACCCTGTCTCAAAATAAAAAAAACAAAAAAAGGGATGGGGATATAGTTCAGTGGTGAAGCACCCCTGGCATCAATCCCCAGTACCAAAGAAAAACAAGAAATAAAATGGGTTGGGGATGTAGCTCAGTGGTAAAGTGGTAAAGGGCCCTGGTTTAAAAAAAAAAAAAAAAAAAAAGAGAAGCTTGTAAGCTAAGAGGATCCAGCCCGTCTTCTGTGGAGACTGATTAGATCCATTCTCATTTCCTCCACCTGACTTTCGTGTTTTTGTCAACAAAACCATTATCCCCTTATACTCACACCTTTTTGAGCTATGAATATTAACCGTGCTAATTGCACACATCAGCGGGTGCCGTGACATTTCATACGAGCATCTGTCCTGCTTCGTGGTCCCCCCCCTCCCTGCTCTCTCTGGCCCTCCCCTTTCTCCCCTCCCCAGACCCCTTCCCTAATCCCTAATAGTTCCTCTTTTCCTTTGGGGTCATCTTTTTCAGTTTCCACAGGAGAGAGAACACGTGGGGCTGTCTTTCTGTGGCTGGCCCATCTCACTTAACACGATGGCCTCCAGACCAGCCACCATTTCTCACTTCCTCTTCCCCCTCATCCTCTACCCAGGGTCCTGCAGACTTGAGCCCCTGGATTACTCCTCTTCCTCCACCCCCAGCCCCGAGCTTGCCTTTTCTCACCCGTGCCCCCTGTGGGAGGCTCTGCCTGCCTGATCCCTTCCCCACTTCCTGAAGGAAGCTCTAACACAGAGGTAGAGGCGGACTCCGCACTCACTGGGCCTCCTTTTCAGCCTCCTGCCAGCCTCCCCTCACCCGGTTCTGCTCTGTGGACTCAGGCTCCCACTCACCTTGCCTGTGTGCTGGGCCCTACTTTTGAACCTTTGCTCATGCCCACCTTCTGCCTGGCACACCCCCTCTAACTTACCTAGGTCAAATTCCCCTTTCTCCCCCATTTCAGGCGCTCCTCCACCCCCAGGACTTGCTTCTGCCCCCACAGGGCCATCGAGAAGCTCTCCACTGCTGGCTCCGTCTGGAACATGATGGCCCTTCCTGCCCTCGCTCTTTGGCAGCCCTCGGTCCACGCCCTCACTGGTCTCAAAGGGAAGCCTGTCCCTGCCTTGATCCCCCAAGGTCCCCATGGCCTTCCCATGGCGCCAGGTTTCCCTTGGAGTCAGGGCCCTCCCTGCTTCATGGCCACCGTCCCCTCCTCTCGCCCCTGCAGGAGTGCAGCGCTCTGAGGAGCAGCCTCTTCTCCCATCCTGCTGCTCTGCCTGGGGCCCTCTTCTGCTTATTTGTCTGGCTCCCTCCTTAAATCTCCCCTCCACGTGCCTTCGCCTTCCTCTGGAGAACTTCCTTTCCTCTGGTCCATACGTCCTAGAAGAGCTCATCCCAGCATCCTGCCCCACCCAGCCATGGCTGAAGGCCTGCACCCCAGTGATGGGCTCCCGAGGGTGGCATGTGACCCAAACTGGGCCAATCAGGAACTTTCCCTGAGATTGTCACACTGAGAGGGAAGAGCTTTCTTCCACTTTTGCTGTTACTGGCTGAGGTGACCGAGGCACCCCCCCCCCCCCCCGGGAGGCCTATAGTCATGCCCAGTCCCTCCCCCAACCAATGCATGGAGCTGCACGGTGTCCAGAGAACGCGGGGCCACGGCAACGAAAGAAGCTGTGCAGACAGAGAAACTGAATATTCTGTGAGTTGCTGGATCCAGCTACACCTGAAGCCAGAGGACTCAGTCTTCCAAGTTTCTCCAGCCAATTAATATTCTTTGTTGATTTTAGTTTGTGTAAGTTTCTTTACTATTTAACCAAAAGAGTCCCAACAGATACAGGGGCCAGCCTGAGTCCCACAGGATTAGGCGCCCCTCTGTGCTGCTTTCTAACAGCACTCACCACTGAAGATTAGAATTACCTGTCCGTGTGTCAGGTGAGGGCGGTTTCTTTCTGTGTTTCTAATACAGTGAGAGTTTCGTCAGCGAATGGGTGAGGAATCAGTGGGGGCAAAGCCGATCATCCCCACAGCAGACATTTAAGCCCCCTGTCAGCCGCCGGCTCCTCACCATGGTGGGATCCACAGGCTCCCATTTCCCCACAGCGCTCCTCTTTTGCCCTGGAGATTAAGGTTTAGTGGGCACCTGCATCTGCCAGAGGCCACGCTGGATGCCCAGCCTGTCATTACCTTTGGTCTTCACGAGGACACCCCCTTTTAACAACCAGGGTCCTCAGACTCGGGGAGGTGAAGAATGGTGGGTGGTGGTAAGACGGCCTACGTCCAAAGCCCCTGGAGACCCACCTGGGCTCAGCTTTCTGCACTCCCTGAAGTCTTCATCATTTACCTACTGAAAAAGCCCCTGCCCCACACCCTGTGCTGACGATGTTGTGGCTCTCACCGGGGGGCCGTGCGGCTCCCCAGCCCACCTGCATTTGGAAACCACTGGCTTCCGGGAGCCCTGAGCATGTTCTCTGGGACCCTCTAGGTCTCAGGGGACCAAAGTCCCGTTTGCTCAAGGGCGGGGCCTGGATGCCCAGGGGAGCACGGCAGGGGGACGGCAGAGGGCTATGGAGAAAGCGAAGCATTTACTGAGGAGTTCCTCTTAAGAAGCCCCGACACCCCTCCCAGGCTTGGGTCGGATGCCTCTGGAGCATTTACTTAGAACCCAGTGACTTTGCTTACTGGCCCTAAGACTCCCAAAGGAGGTGACAGAGATGGAGAACCGAGCGGTCCTGTGGCCACCACCCCGCTCCATGCAGCCACCTCTGTCCCCTGACACCACACTGTCCTCCCACGTGGCCCAGCGGCCTCCCTCTGGCCATCCTCCGTGGGCACAGTCCCCTGCTTCTCAGTGACCTCAGGAGGAAAGCCGGAGTCCTTAACCAGGAGGCCCTGACCCCGCTGACGGCTGTGTCCATCTCAAAGTCTTGCCACCCTTTAGTGCAGCTGTTTCTCTCCTGGGGACATCGTGTGTGCTGCCCCTGCTGCCTGGAGGGGCCTCTCCACGTGACACAGGTGTACACACAGACCCTGGCCGCCTCCTGCGCATTCTCAGGGTCTCAGCTTCATGGTCACTTTCTCACACAGGCCCCCTGACAGCTCCTTCCCCTCCAGAGTCTAGTTAGTTCCTCCTGTTATCCCTCTTATGAAGTCTGTGCTGTTCCTGGGAAGGTCTTCTGCTCGACTGTCATTCTGTAGCTATCTGTGTATGTTTAGCCTCTGTTTATCCCGCCTGCGTGAAAGCCCTGGGAGGTTGGGCTTGCATCGGGTTCCTTTGCTGCTCCGTGGCCAGCACCTGGCACAGGGCCGAGTGTAGACAAGCAAGTGCTCAAACTGTGCCCATCCGGGCCCTGCCTGCGGGCTCTGTGGACACCACTGCTCTCTGCAGGTCCCTGCAGGCTGGCCCTCAGGCCTTGGCACACAGGGTGCCCGCTTTTGGGCCCCAGGAGGTCTC